ACACACAGCGACAGTTCCTGCTCTTCGTCTCCTACAGTCTTGAGGGAGATCTGGAGGATGAGAGGCCAGGGATATTGAGCAGTTCCAAAGCCAGGGCAGCACAGAGCAGGGAATAAAGCCCAGATCTCCTGCCTTCCCCAACCATGACCCACTCTAACCACTACGCCAGCTTCCCTTCCAGTGAGACGCTTACCTTCCCTGGGGCTGAAAGCTCCTCTGTGAAAGCAAGTAAGCATTTGATAAAGAAAATAACAGGATGAATAAAACCATGTGTTTGTACAAGAAAGCTTTTGCTCTGATCTTTAGTGCTGCAGTATGTTTTGACCTACTACTGCAAGACTCAGCTACATCTTCCCTCCCTCCAAATGTGACAGAAGGCAAAAAAGAGCCGCGACGGTTGCTGCAGAGCCCTGTGCTGGGATTCCAGCTGACAAACAGCATCAGCAGAGCTGCCCACACACACGGATTAAAACCCACACCCTCCTCTCTCCCGTCACCTGCAGGAAGTGCATGCACACACACACGCGGGGCCCGATTCCCTGCTCAGCCACGCAGCGAAATATCAGCAGCCTCCAACAGGTTTGTGCGCAAGGAGAAACACACCCACGAGATACATTTCCTAATGAGGGCTGACATTTACCAGCTACCAGAGATCCCAAACTGCCAGGAATAAAACTTACAGGCAGAACCAGCTCTGCTTGGACAGGGCTGCTCCCTGGCAGCGCGGGCGGAGGTGGGCGCAGGCTCCAAGCAGTGGCTCGGCACGGATGAGGAGCCCAGGTTGGTTTTGCTTGTGGCATCTGCTCTCGTGCAGCATCCAAGGGAAGGATCAATGACTCTAAGTGGCCTTTGGTACAGCCTCTCCAGGCTCTTTGGCTACTGTGAAGCCCTGTTGGCTTATCAGGTCTGTGTCGATACAGAGGTAAGAGGGACACTTATCACCACCAGAGGCTCACGGAGCAACGAAGGCCTCCGCAAAGCACTAAAGCTGCTGGGATCTCACCACAAACAGGATTTCGACTCTGAGGTTTGTTCCAGAGAGCATCAGTGCCAACTCCTCTTCAGCATGGGCCAACCCTGAACCACACACAAACTAAGTGCATTTTGCATCAGACTCCAAAACCCTGCTGGACATGCCTCATCTGATTTACTACTGCTGCCAAGGAAGGTGGATTTATTCCCAAATTTAGCAGCTGCCAAATCAATGCGAGAGTGCTCACATGGGGATTTGCCACAAGCTTTTGTTAAGCCAGGGCAGGATTTTCACACTGCCTTTCCCTCGAGATGCATCAGGCCCAGGGCTGGCAGTGCCCTCGCTCACTCCATCACAGCCCAGGCTGCTCATCAGGTGCCCTGCTCTTGCCTGAATCCAGCAGTGATCCCTCTTGGAGCCAGTCACTCACCTTTCCCGGGTGACACAGTGACAGAAAACAAGCAGCTGACAAGGAAATGAGGTCAGGGCTCCAAATTGCTCTCCTAAACTTCCCCCCTGACTTGGCATGCGTGGCACATGGCAGTGGGTTTATTTTTCAGCAAACAAGTTTCCTTTCTTCCAATCAACTCAGAGGCAATAAGAGGTGGGTTTCAACGAGGCATAAATCTGCCAGCAGCATATCAAGGCTTCTGAATAGCAAGGGCACAGACAATTGTCCAGTGGAAAAGAAAAAAAGGTCAGAGCAGTAACTCTTGCAGTATTTGTTCCACAAACAGAGAAGGTTTACACAGCTTTTCTGGGCAATTATTGGGTAGGAAATAAATCTCAACAGAAACTCATCTTCTTCTCCCGCTTTGCAGCTGAATCTCTTTGCCTCACGCCCCTAGCAATGTCCCCAAAATGCTTTGCAACAAGATGTCAGTTACACAACCCAAGGCTGTGCCCAAAGAGCCAGTGGAGAACTGTATTAAATTTAATAGCATTGCTCCAGGTAATCTACGACCAGTTATAATCAATTGTCCATGCCCACTGCAGCATGACTATAGCCGTCTTCAGTGCTGCAGGTGCAGGACTAGCTGAAAAAGCTCTGCGTGGGCTGGAGACAAGAGATAGCTTAGCACAGCCTTGAATACCTGGAGAGGCAGCGAGGAAGCCCAGCCCACAGCTGCTGGGCTCGTTTCAGGCTATGGTTCAAGGGCCCTTGGTGGACTGGAGAGCCCTGGCATGAGCATCCCAGCCCCGCAGAGACTGTTATCCTCACAGGGGGATAGTCTCTCCCCTTTGGTGTTAATTCAGCAAGGCAAGGAGAGGATCACAGTCTGTTGTACACAGAGGGAACAACACAGAGGGAGGCAGGAAGGATTTCCCTTGCTGCGAAGCTGGGACAGGATGGGTGTCGCACTGCACCCTGCATCCCGACCCCAGCATCATTCCCCCACCCAGGGCCAGATCCACTCCTCTGCAGCACTGGGGGAGCAGAGCACGAGCAGCCCAGGTGAGGAGCTGGGGCTGGCAGAGACAGGCCAGGAAGATGTTTCCCAGGCCCTCCAACCACCACCACAACCACCACCACCACCCTGGAGCTGCCACTTCATTCGCCTGTATCTACACCCAGCCCAACACCCTGGCTGTAAATATTCCAACACCTCAGCCTCAGGGAGGCAGCCCTTTTAGACCACATTGCAAACACCTGCACACAAGGGCAGGCTCGAGGCAGAGGCATTAACAGCTGAAGTCCAGGCTGGAGACCATGACTGAAAGCCGGAAAGGAAGACCCAGATCCCAGGACAGCTGTTACCAAATGCCAGACTACAAGTCCAAGCAAGATCTTGGTCTAGCCTCTATTTCTGGTCCACAAAACAGAGAGAGTCCTCCCAAGATGAGGGTATAATTGGATTCATAAAACTTTGAGGAGCCGTAACATGGATGAACTGCTTGTCTGATCTTTGTTGAATACGGTGCTTGCTTTCCACCCTGCCTGGCTAGGGACTTCAGAGAGGGGCTGTATTTTCTTGCCAGCTCCTGGGAGGACAATAGAGGGAAGGGTTACAGGATCCCAGTCTACACATGCTGCATTTCACAGTGCTCAGAGGCTGGAAGACATCCCCAGCTCTCTGAATCTTCCTCTCCTCTTTTTTGACTGCAAGTGGGTTGAGCCCATGAAAAAAGTACAGCCGGGAAAAGCCCAGTGAGCTCAATACCCCTGGGAGCTGCAAGGACATCGGGGAGATGCTAAAAGCACGTGGCAGCTGGCTCCTCGGGCAGCCTGTCACTCAGATCTGCTTTTGGAGGGCCCTGAAGAAGGATTTGTAGCACAGGCAAGACAGATTTTTCTTGATCTAATGCTGTCTGTGGGGCCAGTGAGGGACAGCAGATTTCTGGTAGGCCTCCAAGCCTCCCTCCCTTGCCAGTGATGGCCAAAGAAAGTACCTGCTGCACTGGCACCCAGGAGAGATAATGAACACGGGCACAGTGTCCGAGCTGTGGTCTCCATCCAGCATCACGGCAGGAGCTCTGGGGAAGGCAGAGGGCATTTATCCCAGCATCCCATCACTCAGGCGCTGAGCAGAGCAGAGCAAGGTGCAGGAAAGTAGTAGCGAGTGACAGCTCTAAGTGTGAAGAAGTAATTACAGTCCTGTTCCCAGTGACATTTCCCTTCCCTAACCTCCCAGCTTTTCTCCTGCTGAACAGCAAGGCCCTGTTTCCACACACTCTCCCCTCCAGGCAGGCTGACTGCAGCAAATGGAGCTGCCCTCCTCAAGCATCCGTGCCTACTGAACGTCAGGAACGCCAAGCACTTCGCCAGCAGCTCCCAGTCACAGCATGGCATCCGCATCACTCCAAAAAACCCGGTGCCTCCCAGACCGACAGCAGCTCTTGGAGCGATCGAGCCAGAGCCAACTTTATCACGCGGAAGAAAGGAAAGCCAGAAAACTATTGTCCAGCCTGCTGAAACCACTGGTCCCCTGAGGTCACAAAATCCCAGCCACTTTCAGGAAGTGATAAGAGGCAGCAGGGTGTTAAGCTGTCCACTCCAGCTCCGAGTAAATCTCAGAGCTTCCCCAAAGCTAGGCACGGAGAAGAATGGCACAGCTTGCCTGAAAGCAGCTCCTGGCCTCCTGAACAGTAACATTGCCATCTAGAGGCCCTCTTGCCTTGCTTCTGGAAGGGCCTGGTAAAACTCGGTAGGTATTTCCACCCTCCCAAGGCTCCTGCATGGAAGAGAGGTGGTAGCAGGACCAGGGGCATGAAGGTGCATGTGTCACACTCCAGGAAAATTTCAATACCAGGTAAGGAATTTTAAAGGGTACTGCAATACTCAGCTGTGCTATTTCCTTGGGAGCGCTTGGACACACCGAGGCTCAGCCAGAGCAGGGATGCTCTCTGCACAGCTCTATGTAAGGCTCAGAAGGAAGAGCAGGGTCCCAGGTCCCAGCCATGCAAGGGGGGGGGAAATGGGTCAGAAAATTCTCCCCCCAGTAAGGAAGCCAGGCCTGCACCCAACCCTCCAGGTCTGCAAGCCAATGGTTGGAGGCAGTATCTGGAACCAAATGGGTCTGAACAGATCTGGAGACCTAAGTAAATCCATCACAGACCAGTCCATGAGAAAAAAGCCAGTGAGCAGGAGGAAAGGACAGCTTTTGGAGATGCCAGCTGAGAGACTCAGTCTTTCACAGCTGACCACACAAAAAGTAACTGCAGATATGGTCCTATGGAGAGCTGCAGGACAACAAATGCTGTGCAGTCCAACAGGACAGGTGTGCTTTGCTATCAGCTGCCAGGAAGCTTAAGCCAGGAGAATTCAGCCCCAAAACCCAATAATTTTGTGGAGCACAATGCAGACCTAAGCCCAAGTCAGCCACCTCCCCACAGCTCTAAGGCTGTGGAACCAGAGTAACCCCCAGAGACAGTAAAGGAGCGTGCCTAACCCGTCAACATATCACAGACTGATATCTCAGCTTCCTAACACGCAGCTTCTCAAATAGCAGAGCTCAGCCTAGTTACGTACACTGCAAAGGTCTCAGCCATGCACAGCCCTCCACACTCACACCCAGCTTCTCTGTACCTTCAGTCAGGGGTTATCCGGCCATGCTCATCCTTTCTGAGGGCTCTTTTTCATCAGAGCTAAAGCCAGCGGTCCAGGAGCTGGGAGAGAGAAAGCAATTCTATGCCCCTCCCTGTGCCACCAGGACAAGGGGCCAGCAACCCCCCACCCCCTTCCCATTTAACACTTAGCAGGCACCCCCAGCAGCAGCCACTCAAGTGGGGGCCCAGCAACTGCTAAATCACTCCTTGAGCAGCACCAGCTGCAGCTTGGACACTAATTGCTCATTAGCACGAGTCACCTCTCACCCGGCCATCTGGGTGGCTCCCCGAGTACCACAGCCCCCTCCTGCCCAGCTCCTGCATGGTCCTGGAGAGGTGGTCTCAACCTCACAGCTGTGCTGGGATACTCGGGAACTCAGCACCCATGCTGGCGGTGGGTGCTCTGAGCCCTTTGCTGCCAGGTTCAGTCAGTAAATACCCAGCTTCAGGCAATTCTGCAGCCAAACTATGATTTTTGTGCTGCTCAGGGCTCTCAAGGACAGTCTTAAGGATCTAGGCAATTTCTGTCAGATTTTTTGCGGAGCATGGCTCATCAAGCTGATACTCGGTCCTGATCACCACAGTGACCAACTTCCCAGAAAGAAAATAAGAAACCAAAATACGTAATTCCTCCCAGCAAGACCTCTCAACTCTCCATTTTAAAGAGCCGCAGCTCCTGGCTGCTGATTCTTTGCCCTCTGTGGTGCAGCAGGGCCTGGAAGCAACAGCAGTGGTTGGGACCCCTGATCAGCAGAGAGGGTCAGGCCTGCCAGAAAGGAGCATGATTCAGGCAGTCCACAAATGCCCCCTTTGGGCTGCCCACGGTGGGCACACACCTTGCACCAACCTCTCTGTATGTGGCAGTGCACATCCTGGTGCAATCTGCACCTTTTCAAGCTCACCTGGGAAGCACCCTGCTCACACACAGCCTGCAACTTCAGGCACATCCCCAAATCCAGATCAGCGCTTAGTAGGGAAGCCTTTGTCAGCAAAGATTAATTTCTGCAGTTTGCAGCTTTCTACCTGAGCTACCTTGGAGCTTGAGCTGTCTGGGGAGGAAAAGAAAAGATAATAAAATCCTCTGAATGCATTGATCAGAAAGAAAGTCTGGTTGGGTGTCCCACAATAATGTCACATTTCTACACTGGTGAATCTGCTAAAGAGTAGGAAAAAAAATCTCACCACCTGAGTGGGGAAGGCGAGAGTATATTAAAAAAAAAAAAAAAAAAAAGAAAGGTTTTATAAAGAAACCACTATTTGGTCTTAATTAGGGCTGGTCCAGACCAGGCAACAATTACCGTGCTTGTGCCCGGAGCCACGCTTAGTGCTTGCTAATGGCTGAGTAAGAAGACACCCCGGGATGAAAGCCCCCGGCGCCTCTGAGGACTGACGATGGAGGGGAAGCTTCCTGGTAGCTTCTTCTTCTCCCTCTCTGCGGTGAGATTCGTGATGGATGCCTGAGTCCCAGCCCTCTTCTCCCACAACACATCATTCGATTTGCCGCAGACGCGGGGCTGGAGGTCTCCGGCGGTGCTCAGCGTGCCAGGAGAGGTCAGCGTCTCTTTGAATAACGTCCTCGTGGAGCGCCAAGAAGTGACATCAAGCTTTGCCCCTTGCCACCCCCTTGGCACAGCGAGGACGCCAGTCAGCGCGGGGGTTCGAGGAGGCACATTCCCTGCCGTCTCTGGCTACCCATGCATGATTTATACCTGCTGTGTCAGACAGACATTTACATACCCTGGCACGGCCGCACACGCCGCCTCCCCGCAGCTGCAGCGGGGCTTGCCCTCAGCGAGCCCCTGTCCCTGGGGAGCAGGGCTGGAGGAAAGCGCTGGAGCCATTGGGGAGGCTGCTGGGCACCCCCTTGTGTCCCTGCGGAGAGGAAAGCAGAGCCCCATTACCTGCTCATGCGTGGGGCACAGCCTGCTTGCATGCAGGGCACACGTGTAACACCTGGGCACCTCCTGGGAGGGCACTCCGGAATGGACCCTACCCAGTGGGTGGTGGAGGGCTCACGCTGGCACAAGGGGATGCGCATCACAGGGTGTTTGCCTCCCAACATCCATTTCCCAAACTTGCCTCCCAGCTACAGCACGGACCTGCTGCTCCCTGACCCTACTTTGCCAGGCACAGCTGGTTCGCAGCTCAGGCAAACCAGTGATGGCAGGCAGCTCATGGAGCAAGGAAGAGCCAAAACACAGAAGAGACAGTCCCAGCCGCAGGGAGAGCGGCACCACAAAACGGGGAGGCTTTGCAGAGCACAGACCCCAGCCAGCCCAGAACCTAGCTATGAAGTTCCCCCTCTTCCCAGCATTTTCAATTTCAAGTTACTAAATGGTTTTATTAAAACAACTCCGAACACCTCACACCAGGACAGGACCTGTGCTGTGTTTCCTCCTTTCCCCCCCCTCCCACCCACCTCTCCCTTCGCCGCTGCTCACCAGCCCAGACAGGAACGCACGTGAGCAGCCACCTGCAAGCACCCCGGAGGGCTCTGGAGCCTGCAGTTAATATTTACGGCGGTGTTTCTGCTTCTGCTGCTGCCTCTACCCGGCAGGGCCGGGGACGGTGGGGCTTTCAGGGCAGCGCTGCGAAGCACTCAATCTGAAATCACAAATATCGTCCCGCCACCGGTTGGCTCATCACAGGGTCTTCCATCATCGCGGCCAACTGGGACCCTGGGTGATTTTCAGCTGCAAAGTCAGCATTCAGATGGGGCTGGTGCCGCTCTCCCTGCAAGGAACATCGTGTTTAAAAAACAAAGTGCAGCTAGGGAAATGGCGGGGGGGGGGCAAGAGGAGAGATGCTCATTTGTCCTTGGCAGAACAGCGCTGAGGCTCCAGCAAACACGCAGCTTTGAGGGCAGGGGAAAGCACTGGCAGCTACAAATTACTAATCAATGTCGGGTAACAACAACAGCAGCTAATAATGAAAGGCTGATCAGCTTACTATGGCAGTAATTATTCCTGACACCAGCCCTCTGAAGGGGCATCCAGGCTTAGCACACTGTCTACCATGATGATAACCCAAGATAACTAGAGAAATTTTGTGCTGGAGGAAAGGAGGGGGAGAGGTAGAAGGAGGGAAAAAACTCAGCAATTAGCTAGACTTGTGGTGCTAATTACACTGTGAATGGTGTGCAGGCTTTGTCAGAGCTAACTTGAGCCTTACCCACAATGCTGTCGAGGTACGCGAGGTGCCAGCACACCTTGCAGAAAGCAGCAGTGACAAACGGTTTTGGCAGCTGGTTATTTTTGAGAACAACACGGCTCGCTGCTGCCAGGGCCCGCTCAGCCCACCCTAAAATCCGCACCAGCCCTTTGCCATCACCCTTGCTTGGGGAGAAGCCTCACACTGCTGTATCGGCTGAAATTGCAGGGCTCCTCTCCGTGTTTCCAGGTGGTGCTGAGCCTACTTGTATCAGGGTGCAGGACCAATCCAGGTGCAAGCCTTTTGGGACGAGACACAGCCAACGTGAGACCAGAAATCTCCATTTACCAATGTGTCCGAGGAGTATGTGTTCAAAACATGCTGCCTTCACCCACTGCTGTACGGGAGGCTGTGGCTACAATGCTCTGCACTGCTCCAGCAGCCAGCAAACCAAAACCCCCATCGCTTCCAGCACGTCCCACCCCCCACAAAAAGCCCCCACTGCCACCCGTGCCCCAGCAGAGGAAGGCTTCTTGCAGCCAGCAGGGGTAGCGACGTGAAGGTGCAAACACACGTGTGCTTCCCCCAACACCCGTGTGCTTCGTGCTGCGAGAACAGGTGAGAAGAAAACGTTAGCAGCCCCAAAGGCTTGCGATCACACATGCCTCCCTCACCCGCTTCTCTCCCAGGCAGCTGTAATTAAGCACACCGTCTCCTTGCACCCTGCATCCGTGAGGCTGCCGAATTGCTCTCTCGGTGGCTGTAAGCGCTTTGCAGACATGAGCTTAGCAGCGAGGCGGCTGCTTTGGGTGCGGGTCACCAGCATAGTCCAGAGACTAAGAGATCACAGCATCTCTATGTGCAGATCAATTCAGCTACAGCAGCAGCCCCCATCCTCCCCGGCTCTTCCCTCTACTCCCAGGCACACCGGCTTTGTCCCTGAAGGGGTACAGAAGGCTCTCGGGCCGCCAGGTCTTTGCAGAGAGCCCTGCAGCCTGCAACCCCTGCAGAAATTCAAGAGTCAAAGATGTCAAACACAAGCGGAGGTGCCCGTCAGCTCTGCGTTCATGGCCTGCTCCCCAAATCTGCATCCCTCTGCCCCACCCCGCAGGGTTTTCCTGCTGATGCCCTGGAAGATCCACCCCCCAGCCCACGAGCAGCGCTGCCATACAGCCCCAAATCCTATTACAGGGCAGTGCCGGGGGGACGCGGCTCCCAGCCCTTGCACAAACAAAATCCTATTACAACAGAGATCCTGATTCCAGCCTTTATTTACAGAAATTATTATTACAAGGGACCCTGAGGGAAATCATGACTGTGGGCTTTATACGCTGAATTCGTCATTGCTAGGGAAGAAGCCTCGTAACGCTTTGAGGCAGATAGTGAGATGCAAACTACCTCCGAGTTACATGTCATGGAGCGGGGAGGGGAAGGGGAAAAAAAAAAAAAAAGGAAAAAAAAAAAACAAACACAACCACAGACTAAGCTGTTGCAGGAGGAGAGGAAGGGAAAGACATGCATATTTCTTTTGTCCAGCCCAAGGCAATTTCCATCAGCAAGGTGCACTAAATCCTTTGTACCGCTTGATTAAATTACAGCTGAGCTAAGCAGAGGCCCTCGTTCTGCAGAAAAAATAGCAGCCCGGCCTCAGCATCCTCTGCAGGACAAAGGGCCACGGTGCTGGCCGGCAGGTGTGCAGCTCGAGGGGAGGCTGGAGGAGAGAGACGAGGGGAGAAGCTGCAGGGCTGAGGCAGTCCCGAGCCTGCACCACGTGCAGCAGGCAGCTCGTGAACACCCGACAGCGGGGGGAATCGATAGGGCAAGGGGTGCCAGCACCGGCACTGAATGTGAATGCGGGGCTGGAGCGTCTGCTTTTGGGCAGGAGGATACAGGTGAGGGAGGAGAGAGAAGCTCCATGGTGTCCTCTGGAGGTGGCAGACGGGGACAGTCCTGCCCGTGGCTCCTGCACGGCGCTGCGGCATCAAGCGCCAACGCAGCCCCATGCTCAGAGCGCTGCCCTCTCTCCTACCTTGAGCTGGGGATACGAGCAGTGGAGGCTGGTAGGGGACAGACAGGAGGTCTCCTCGGGGCGGATCATCCTGTCAGAGGCATGCGGTGCAGGCACGCTGTGAGCGGGACGAGGAGGAAGAGGAATCTGACCCTATACAAACCCACAGTCAGCGCTGAGCGAGGCACTGGAGGAGGAGGGGAGCTGCTCCGTGCTGCGAGGTCCCACAGGCTGCGGCACGGCCAAGCAGCACCATCAGGGCTATAAATTGGGGTGCTGGCACCGGGCAGACCGCAGAGACTGCTCCCAGCACCAGCAGAGCTCCGCGCTCCTGCCGCAGAGACCTCCAGCAGAAAGGTCTCGCTCACCCTGCAGGTGCTTGCATAAACAACCCGTCAGTGCTTTGCTGGCGCACAGCCAGAAAGCTTGACCCTAATGCCAGCTACACAGGTCACAGATGCTCTGACAGTCCCTGACGTGCACACATTTTCAAGCAGCTGTCCCTTCAGCCATCGCCATCCACTTGTCTCTAGACATTAGGCACTCCACATGAAGGTATCTGCCCGCCGTGAGGGGCGCAGGGAGGCACCAGCACAGCACGACAACAACAGGGGAAGGCAAATCCTTGCGGACAACAGCAAGGTCCCGCCAGCTGGGGGCTGCCACCAGCAGGGCCTTGACAGCTCTCCAGGAGGGAACCCAGAGAAATGGTGCTGCCCAGAGGGGACACGAGCACAGCGTGCAATCTCAGCCTCAGGACTTCCCAAATTTGAGGCCGGGGCCAAACCATTCTTCCTTTGTGTCTTCAGCCCTCTCAGCCTCCTCTTGCTGCTTCCTCCATCGGCAAGGGAGGCCGTGGCCTCCCCCACCTATGCAGATTGCGGCGCTGACAAGGCAGGGTAACGAGGGTGCTGGCCCCTGCGAGCTGTTTGCCAGCACTTCAAGGTGAATCTGATGACACAGCTGCTTTCCTAAGTGTTAGGAACGTGCTCCGCTCCGGCTTTTCATCTCAAGCAACACGCAGCATGAAGGGCAGCTTGCCAACACACACACACACACACACACACACAAATAAAAAAAAAAATTACATGCAGGGCGAAAAGCATCACCCCTGGGAAATCTGCATCCAAAGAAGTCTGAAAACCTCCCCCCAAAAAGTGATATAAGCACAAGGTTATTCAAATCCCTCCCCTGCTGAGGCAGTCTCTTTCAATTTGTTCAGTGGAAGCATTTCACGCCTCACCTGCAGACCGACTGTTTCCTGAAGAAGGAGGGACCATAGAAAAGTTTGAGCACAGCAGAAAGCCAAGCCCGGATCATGCCTCTTGTTTTATTGCTTCTCCCCCACTGGGGCACACCGGGAGGGAGTTTTCGGAGAGGCTGGTGATCCTGTTAGCATCCGAGCCACCGACAGCAAGCCAAGGCTGGAAGGAACAATACAGCCCTCTTCATGAACTGGTCCGTTTTTTTTTTTTTTCTTTTCTCTTTTTACAGTACAATGGGAGGCTAAACTCACACTCAAATAGCAGTGCTGGGGATGAGTCAGTCTTCACTGTTGTCAGCTGGAAGAAGGATGAAATTACATCGCTTATCAGCCACGAGCCAGCAGGGGAGGTGGCTGCAGGACCTGTGAGCCAGGCTGAGCCCAAAATAGGGATGTTCCCAAAAGCCTCAACCTTTTGCTCAATTCCTACACACACTCAACGTTGCTCCAAAGCCTAAAAACAAGCTAAACATCTGCTTGCAGAGACAGCAATCTGCCTACAGAGGAGAAAACTCGTTGGGGGTTCGATGACAATTTTAGCACCAAATTGTGACAAGTTCTTAATGTTTTCAAGCTGGGAGTCCTGCAGGGTCAACGGACATGGACTCACTGATCACAATGTCTCTGAATGATCACACCCAGCTCTTGTCTGGCCATCTGGTTAAAGATCTGTATTACTCTGACCCTGCTCTAAAGCCAAGCCAACATTTTACAGCTTCATTTTTTAGGATGGAAAATACTCCCTACCCCAAAGCTGCAGAGCAGTGAGAGCAGATATTGAGACGATCATGGGGAGGATGAACACTCATGGATGGTCACTTGGGGAGAGATGATGGATCACAGGGCAACATCCGTGCTTCTGATGGACTCACTGAAAATCAGACATTACAGTTTGACCCCTTTTACAAACCAGTGCCTCCGCTCTCGCTGCCATTGCAGCAGCCTGGCTCCACCTTAGGCTCTGCCACCTTTCCCGCGTAGCTGGTTCCTCTCCCTGTTTTGGCCAGCAACCAAAAAGCACCCAGCCGGCAGGGTCTCACAGCTGACAGGCCAGCTAACAAGTCCGAGACGTGAAGCAGCTGAGCAACTGAAGCCGTTGGTTGCAATTACTTGCAGCAGAGCCATGCCTCGGCCGCTCCACATAAATCTCAGTCCACTGAGGTTTCCCCAAGTCCTCCCATGTTAGCATTTATTAATGACACCTATTCCCTCACACGCCTCCCTCTCAAGATGCAAGAAGGGGAAGCCTGTCACAAAGAAAGAGCCACCTGATGTATTGCAGAAGACATTTCAGGAGCACCTCCCAGCTCTGAAGGCAGCTGGTGCTGCAGCCCTTTGCCCGCGAGAGAGGCGAGCGTGCTCCTGGGGCACGCTTAACCCCAAGAAGCCATGACTCACCGACGTTTTCCTTCCGTAATTTGGAGTGTATCAGGCTGCGTAATGCCAGCTCAGGCTCAGTGATTCACGTTGGAGGGGATGTGTGAGAGATCACCTCTTACCCAAATGGGTATAATTTTGGCTGACAGCTGTAATGGGCACCGGAGCCCTGCTCTCCGTGCGAGATTCAGCCAGAGATGGCTGCAGCCTTTGCAAGGCCCAGCTCTCTGCCTGGAATACAAAGGGAGCAGCTGGCATCGAGATCGGTGCTTCAGGGACTGCGAGCTCAACCAGGCAGGCGGCTGCTTTCCCAAACGACAACGTAAAGCAGATAGAGGAGCTGCAGGCTAATTTGATGATTTAATCAATACGATAATTCTATTAATTCAATAGTTTGATACAAAGCCACTTCCTTTCTGTTTGATTTACCTGAGAGAACTTCATTTCAGAATTTTCATAGCTTAGCTGATCAAATACATAAACCAGGAAACGTGTTACTCAGATGGATTTTCTTTAACTGCGAACTGCAGGAGAGGCAGAGCAAGCAATGACCCAGCAACCACGCAGCACGGCCCTGAGATTCCCACCTACAGTCATCACACAACCCCCTGGAGGCTCATCTCAAATGTAGGATGTTTCCCGGGCTGTGGGGCAGACGAACCAGGAGCGAACCCAGCAGAGAAGGGAGGTGCTGGTGCACCCACGTCCTCGTGTTCCACCTCTTCTGGAGGTTCGTGTCCCACATCCAGCCTGGGGTCCAGCCACCTCTGGTGAAAAAGGACTGCTATCAGGTTTATAGCTGTTTCCATTTATAGGAAGAAGGAGTAATGAAGTGTCTTCCTTCGGGAGGTGCCTTTTTTTAGCTGTCGAACTGTTTTAACTTTGTTTCCTAAGGAAGCAGCAGCCAGAGAAGCCAACGAGCACTCCCACCTCCCTTGCCCAAAGGCACGTTCGCATGGTGAGCACCATCCTCCGTGGTACCAGCTCGGAGAGAGCCACTGCAAGAGGCTGACAAGCCATGGTAGGAGCCTGCCAGGCTGCAGCAGCCCCTCCACAAGGCAGGGAACAGGCATCATCCACCCCCTGTCCCAAAGGTCCCCCCGTGCTGCTGGGCAGAGAGGAGAAGAGCAGCTTCTGGAGCTGGGGGTCTCCCCTTTCCCTGGGTTGTGCAGCAGCCTTACAGCAATAACACACACAGGCACGTAGTAACTCCCAGTGTCACCACAGCCTGCTTTCAGGATTATCTTTTTTTTTATTCCCCTTTCCCCACCTGACAATTAGCCAACACCTGACACTGCCAGCAGAGATGCGGTAAAGGCAGCAGCAGGTCAGCCTCCTTCAAACAATTCCGGGGTCTTCCTGCCAGGTCCCTCTCTGGGTATCACCATCCCTCCAGCAAGAGAGAAAAGCCTCTAAATTAAAAAGGTCTGGACAGCAACCCACCAGCTCCCACTCCTGCCCTGATCAATGAAGCTTGCTAATTAAAAGCAGTTGACCTGAGCAAAGAGCGGCTTGGAGATTAGCCTGAGGGAGACAAGATTTAAGAATTAAATTACTTGACTGGTCTGTTCCATTTTATTCGACAACCCTGGTTTTCCCTCCTGCCACACGTAGGTAAACGGTGATTTTGAGGACTCGGTCCCAGTTTGTAGGGGCATGGAGCAGAGAACAAGGCTCTGCTGTTTAATCCACCGCCAACAACCCCATCCGTGTGCATCCACGTGGGGCTGTCGGAGCAGCGCTTGTCTGACTGCCAGGTGACAACTGCAGAACAGCCGGGGGGCACCTCAGTCCTCCAGCTTGATTAACTGGTCCTTTGCACCCTGCCACAGCACTGGGACCTCAAGCAAGCATGCAAGCAATTCCCCTGATGCTTGCTCTGACTCCATGGCCGGGGCCTCGCTGATGTATTCATCTCCGCCTGTAACCTCGGGGAGATTTATGCCTAGCAATCCAAGGGGACGACCACCACCCAAAAGCACGAGTGCCCAGGTCAGGTCCCCATCATCCCATCAACCAGTGAACTGCTGGTTTGAGAATCCCACCGCAGAGGGCTATAAAACAGACAGGAAGCCCTAAAGCATCACCGCACATAGCAAACACGCTGGGTCTCGTGTCTGGGGCCTCGCACTGTGCCCTGGAAGAGCAGCAAAGCAAACAGAGGGCTGCGCTCTTTGGAGAGCTCTCACATCTAATTTTCAGAGTTGCTCTGCCCTGCTCACGTCAGTGGGAGCTGCAGAGCCTCTGGAAACCCTGCTAATAGGAGGCAAAGGAGAGGAATGTAATGCTTCCTTGCTTCGGGAGAATTGGCTGGAAACGTGGCGTTGTTTTAGCCATATGAGAAGAAATTCGGGTGCAAATATGAAATAGGCTCTCCTTCAGACGGTGATATTTCAGGACCTTCACCACAAAATATCTGTAATGGAATTTGCCCAGAACATATGCGTTTGCACAGGGAGAAAGAATATTCCTGGGAGAAAAGAGCAGTTTCCTCGCAGAACGCTCGGGGGTTTGTGTATGTTCCGCATATAATCTTGGCACTCGTTTTCTTTTTAAAATCACTGTGTTGGAGTTGAGGGGGATAAGACCAAGAAAAGGAGCCGTGGCAATCTGCTGTGCATAACTTATTAATCCACTGCCCTGTTCCCTCCTGCATCCCTTCTCTTTCCCCATTCCAGACCCTTTCTTGCTGGGATGACTGGGGAGCTCTGGCACTCCTTGGGCTCGTGCTTGCTTCTGGAGGAGATTGCTTCTGGATAAACTGCTCTCAGGGTCCTAGGTGATTTATCCAGTGGTGGCGACACTCCTGGCCCTCCTCTCCCATTTATTTCTGGCATGGCTGCAGGGCCTAAAGGTTTTCCCCTTGCTCCAGGCCAACCTTCAGCTTCCCTTCCTCCATGGTTATGCTCTCTTCTCACCATCATGCAGCCTGCAGCAACCTGCTATTTTCCAACCAGCATGGTTTGGACACGCCTGAGACTGGACTGAACATCAGTGCAAGGCAATTTCTACTGCAGCTGCAACTCCCAGGCTAAAATAATGCTGCGTAGCTTCCTCCAGTCCTCTTAAATATACTGTCTGTAGGGTGAGACAAGGAAGTGACTGCACAGCATCCAGCAAGAGGAGCTGGTCATAAATTATGACCCTAACGTACTACCATCAGAAAAAAAAATAAAAAAATAAAAATGCCTACCTGCAAATGCCAACCAAAGGAAAAATAATACAGCACCAGAAATGAAAGCAGAGCCAAGCTGCATCCCAACGAGCCAGTAATCTTCTCCACAGAGGAGGGTAAGTGCGTGGCAGCAGGCATGGAGTCACACACACCTCTCTGCAAAACCACAGATCGGCCCCAAAGGTGCCCGGGGTGGAGGAAAGCCGTACAGCTTGTGGGGGGCAGCTAGCCTATGTGGACATGTGGCTGATGCATTGCTTACACAAAGGTGTCTGCGATGTACCGAAACGCTGTCACTCAGAGCGTAAGCCCTAATTCCCCTGCTGCTGTCACCGAAGTAACCCCTCGCTTTCATTACCAGGAGGGAGCAGACTGCAAAACCAACCACATTTTCTTCTGAAGGGGAGAAATTTCATCGGCACGCAGAAAGCCATCCTCATCTGACTTGTGAAGAAAGAGATTTCTTTCAAGAAAGCTCCTCTCTCCCGTGACACCTCCCTCCTGCCCAAGGCGAGAGCAGCAGAGGAAGGCGTGAAGAGCAGCAGTGCTGGATAGTCCATCAGAGCAGGGTGCTGAGCCACAGCCCTTCCAGCTACCTGGCTGAAATTCAAATGCTGGATTAGTGTCTCTGGCACATTCTTAATAGGAGGCAAAGGAGAGGAATGTAATGCTTCCTTCCGGCCTTGCAGATCTATGAACCTCTCCCAGGTAGCAGACAGTCTGGCCCATCAAACGGAGGCTAGAATCAGAAATGAGGCCCATTTGTCAGATAAAATACCCAGGTCCGAGGAGCCAAGCTGAATCCGTATCAGGCAGAGATGCTGTAACAACACAGCAGCAGCTGGGAGCCCCAGTCAGGTGAAGGTCAGGGCTGCTTGGCATTCAGTGCAGTCACAGGCCTCTCAGAAATCCACAACGAGCAAAGGACGAACACCTCCCCTTGGCAGGCTCGCTCCCCTCCAGCTGCATTTGATGGGCTTTGAAGGTTGGGAGCTCAGCAGGGCTGGCCGCAGCGAAACAAGGAGGAAAATGGACATATGGCAGGAGAGGTTAATCCTTAAAAACAGAAAGTGTTTTTGTTCATCTTCCCTTTGGTCACCAGGGTGGCGCCAGCTGTGACTTGTGTGCTGGGACTGAAAGGCAAACTCCAGCTGGAGCTCTCGAGAACCGGAGCCACTTCTGTGTCTTCTTTATACTGAGTTGTGGCTCCCGTAAAAAGGAGGGTGACAAGCCCTGAAGGTGCCTTTTAGCCATGTAACAGGAAAGGTACCGTGAAAGACAGACCTTGGTAGATCGCGATCCAGACGGGATGCTCACAGCATCCCTCGGGGTCCGTGACAGCTTGCAGCCACCCGACAGCTCCGGGCAGGGCTCGGGCACTGCCTTCTGCCCAGAGCCCTTCAGCGGGTAAAAGCAAGCGGGAGGGCTGCTGTTGCTCCCAGATTTGGAGCAACATGTCCCATTTCTACCACCAAATCCCTACAAAAGCAGAGCTTTCCCACCTCCCCCTTGGACAACTACGAGGACCAGCAGCTGGAAGCTCCTTCCCACTGCCAATCCCAGCGCCGAAGGACCTGCCATCTGCGCGGCAGCCTGCCTCCTCCACTGATTTGTTAAGTTTTTTGCCCTGATTGCACGCCTCGGGCAGGCGACAGTTGCTTTGTGCAGGACTTGGAGGGGGGAAGTTTTACAGCTTGGCTGCTGCCAACGCACAGATGTTACAGGCTGGGTCACGGCAAGGTGCTAAAGGCCTTCAGAAATGTTGCAAAGCATTAATTATGTTCCCGCAGCTGTTCTTTAACCCTCGTATGCTTCTCCTTTCTTCCAGGGGCTGCCAGAATGACAACTGTGAACGGGAAATCAAAGCAGGAGGCTTTGAAGGGAAGCAAAGCAGAGACGCTAAAGGTTAAGAGAAACAGCACTCTGAAAATAGGCTTTTTTTAAAGCTGCTTGTCCCTGCCATTTTCTGGAACGCCTCCTCCTCTCCCACTTGGTGCAGCGCTGAAACCGAATGGCACCCAAGGAGTGACAAAGAGCCCACCCAAACCCCGAGGCATTGTAGAGAGTGCCTCATCTGGAGGGCCAGCAAGTGCCGACGAGAGCAGGGAGACGGCTCTGCTCCTGACAGCCAGGGCTCCTGTCGGGGTTGCCCAGGGGAAACTCTGCTCACCCAAACCCTGCAGACCCCACTGCAAACCCAGGCACCACTCACACAGCCCCGGGGCTGGGCTGTGATGCAGGGAAGTAGTCTCGCCACCACCAGCAGGATCCCCCGTCCTCTCGCCCGAAGCTGCAGCCCGGCAGAGCAGAACTCCTTTTCAGACTCGCAGATGTTGTGTTCCTGAATCATCTGCCCGCACGGCTTGCGCTGGTGAGAGCAAACAAGATTGTTTCTGGAACCCTTTGTGCTGAAGCTCTCTGCACAATGAGCTCCCGCACACTTCCAGGCTAAATAACTTTTTATGTTAGAGATGAAGTAGGGGGGAGAAAAAAAATACAGTCACAACAACAGCAAGCAAACAAGCAGAGGCTGCAGCAGCATAACAGCACGCTCTTATGGAAAAGCAACGCTGCTGTGCCTGCACACCCCAAACTGCAGCATCTTCCAGCACCTTCCACGTTTAAAAAGGCAGGAAACTAACTGAAGACGACAAGCTTTGCCTGACATCTCCTGGACACATCTTCAGCCGGGGATGGTCACGACACAGCACGCTGGCCGGGACCTGAACTTGTGCTTAATGGACTCGGCTGCTGCTGCTCTCATCGGCTGCCGGCACGGGTATTAGCTCCATTGCCATCTCTGGAGCTCTGATAACTATAAAAGCCCGATGGACAGACCTTGAAAAGAGACCCACAATAGCATTAACCACTCTGAGCTCTGGGGCCGTGTCACACCTAACGGGGTGAAGGAGTTTCCTCCAGGCAGCTCAGGGCATTTCTCCTCCCTCACCCAAGTGGCTGGTGCCAGCTGCTCCTCCCTGCTGGGGACACCGCAGGGGCACGCAGCCCCTGCAGGGGTTCCTCTCCCCCATTCCTTCAGAATAGCAGCAGGAATTGGGGATCACCACCATCACCCCAAATCAAGCTCACAGTCCTTCCACGCTGGATGGGTTGTGCCCTTACCACCACGCAGACACGAGCTCCCCGCTCGGGTGGGCTCACGGCCAAATGACATCAGGGAAAAGGCTTTGCTGGGACAGCCTTCCTGTTAGACACCTCTGGAAACTCCCACGCTGCTAAAATATCGAGGCAGGAGACAACATTTTCATCTGCCTAATAGAGCTCTTCAAGCCACACGCAGTCACGTGTCTGAGGCCGGCTATTTTAGAACAATGCTCAGCCGAGACTTTTGTTTTCAGCAGAATAATTTAACACCCCTCTCTCGCAGAGTACTTTTGCCTCCAGATATCACAGCCGCTCAGAAAGGCAGGGTCAGCTATTCCAGGAAGGAAAAAAAATAAATAAAAATAATAATAAATAAAAAAAAAAGGCAGCAACATAACCCACAGCACCTGTGATCCCAGGAGCAGAGGCCCCTACCTGCCCCAAATCCCCTGCCCTGATGGAGGAGGCTTCTCCAGCGGCCGCTCTCCTCTGATCTCTCCACTTCTTTTGCGAGCAATTTTTTTATTTTTTTAAATCTTTTTCAGCCTCCAAGTTCAAGTTACTTAAATTTCGCAGAGGGGCTGACATGTTCTGATGAAGACGATCCCATCGGTGTTATTGTCTGGCTGCCAGCTCCCGGGAAACAGGCGAGGCACGAGGGCGGATGCTGTTTTTAACCGGGGGCCGCGTCTGACTCGAGCGTTCGGGGAGTTAATGAGCGCTGTGCGGCGGGAGGGAGGGCCGGGGGAAAGCAAACACAGAAAGCTTTATTTTTACATGTCGTTATTTTTGTAAGAAAGACAAGCCGGGGACTTTATGGAGGGGGGCATAGAGGGGATTGTTTAACAGCAGAATTGCAGGTTTGTGGCTGGAAGAGCCTGCCGGGACATCCCATGTTCCCACCCCGGGACAGCCAAGGTGTTCACACAGACACGCTGCAAACCTATGGGGACAGCCTCTGCTGCCCTCCCCGTGCACAGGGTGGGTCTGCGTGATGGGGTGAGGGGTCTCCAGGCTGTGCAGGCACCCTTGGAGCACCCACGCCAGCTCTGGAAGAGGCTCGGGCCACTCAGCACCACGCAGGCTGAGGCCAAACCCTGGAAAAGGTGGATAGGAGCAGCACATCTGACACTACTCCCCTTAAAGCAGCAGGGAACAGGTTAAAGGAGGAGATTTATAGACATATATCTTTGCCAGAACCACCAGGTGATCATGTGTACACATTTCTCTACTCTAAGACCTAATTTTCCACCATTTCCCTTGATTTGCTGTTCCTTTTCTCCCATTTCCTTGATTTAGGGCCCAATTATTTCTTGTCCTCTTGCCAGTGAAACAAAATATTTCATAAGCACTCCTGTCGTCTCCCCCCACTCCCTCCCTCCTCTGGATGCTGGTTTCAATGCCTGACTCATGCCTCGTGTTCTGCAAAATTTAGAGTATTTTAGTGAACACCTAACGATGATTTTACCATTTTTCACAGCGATGCAAATGGGATTTGGCACTGACGAGCTCCGTGTTGGAACTTAAGCAATTCTGTGGCCCCCGCAGCTCTGGCAGGTCTTTGCAAAGCAATCCCTGGGGACTGTCACCTGCAGACGATTTCCTTCTGACAAGGCTGTTTGCGTCCTTCAGCAGTGACGAGCCCCACACTCTGTGCAAGGATGGGAAGAAGGCAGACAAGAAAACTCTGAAGCTCACCTGGATCCTGAGCAATCCGCAGACATAAGTGGTTTGAGTGCAGTTTCCACACAAGGGTAACATCAGTGAGAACAACAGGACTGTGCTAGCACACGGCAACGCTCTGGCCGGGCTGGGCCAGCAGCTGGGTTTGTCGGGTCCACATCAGCCCTGGGTGCTGCTGCATGGAAGAGCTGGGGGCTGCCACCCCTGCACAGGCAGATCCTTGTCCATCAGCTTATAGACAAGTTCTGCCCTCGTTAAAAGGAACCATACAGAATCTGGAAAGGACAACACTGCCTGTCCCTGGTGGGCCCCTGCTCTAATATTCCAAGTGCAATCAAGCCTTTGCAGTGGTTCACCACAGAAGGAGCCCTGAAGCCCACCCCTGTCTGCAGCAGAGGACAGATGGACGTCTGTCAGAGCACTGAGCACCAGCCCTTGGGAACAGCTCCGGGCAAACGCTCTCCTCTCCCCTTGGGGCAATGGCTTTACAACAGCTTTCCATCCTTCTCCCCCTGCCCGGGCCCGTGCACGCACAGCATACAGCATTTCTATAGCATCCTCCTACCAGTTCCCATAATCATTTCCAAACCTGTCACAATACAACACAACCATGAAAAAGACAGTTAAAATGCTATTTCAATACTGGCAACCTTTATCAGGTCCCTAGCCTGTGAGGGGGGAGAAAAAGCTGTTTGCTCTGAATCAAACAGAGCAAGGACTCAAAACCGTGTCTCCCGTGTTCTGAACTCATGTCTCACATCCCAGCTCCCACAGCCTTTCCCATAGCCAGAGTCTCTTCAATGTACACACACATCCAGCAAGCCGCATCTTGAGCGGTTCCAGTCCTTCCAGTGGCTGGTAGCAACAAGGAGGAAAAATCCAGAGTGTCTGGAGGATGTAGAGGAAGGGATAGGAAGAGGCACTCTGTGGCAAACCCTCCCAGGTAGTTCAAGCTACGTCTGCTTTTGACCCAAAAAGAAAATTCCCACAGCATGTGGAATAGTTTCCAAAACTGATTTTGGAAACCTGGCTCCATGCTCAGCCATCACTGATGGGGACAAGAAAGTTGGACACATGCTGGGGGACACAGAGACCAGGCCCTAAAGCACCACACCAGACAGCCCCAGGCAGGTTAAAACAACGTTCAGTTATGGCATTGGGCTACTGCTCTCCAAAAAGCCTTGCAAAGTAATCAGCCACCAAATGCCACAAGAGAAAGATCGCTGCTAACACAAGAAGGGACGGGCATCCCTTTCCTTACCCTCGTAGGATCAGCCCTGCCGACTGCGCTGGCCTGGGGCTTGCTTGATTAACGTCACTTCTAATTGCTCGTGCGGATGGGCTGGCTGGCAGCACCCCTGTGGGTAAAGCGGGCTCACCCCAGGCCCTGTGCAGCACACCAGCTTCCCCCCAGGGTGCCTGCCAGCCCCCTAAAGCCAGCATCAGGCAGTTCACATTGCTGCCAAGTGCCAGCACAAGGTTCAACATCCCTGGAAAGTGTTGGAAATAGTAAAAGCCGGCCACCGGGGCAGCTTTATATTGGATAGAGATATTCTACCCTCTAAAGTGTGTTTGGAAGGACTTCTACATTCCTTCCCTCCTCCTTCCTTAGAGGAAAGGAGACAAATGTCTGGTCAGGTGTTCACAGCCCTGGGCAAGGGAAGCACAGCACCCTAAGTGACAGCTAACAGAAATACTGGAGAGCAGAGCTCAGGCACAGGCAGGGACTGCTCACACACCTGGCTCGCCCTGCCAGCGTGCCATCAAACCCAGACCACCTCCGGCAAGCCCGTTGCGGGTCTTTCGCAGCATCCCCCTGCAGCCCAGGGGCTGAGATGCTCATTAGAGCAAGCAGAGCCCTAGCCCTGAACGGCACAGGAGCTGTGTTTGGTCCTTGGAGAGCTCACTAAGCTAGTACTTCTGCATGAGACGGGTGCCTGTGCACCAGAACCTAAATATAGCTTGAAAAAATAAAATCAGGCTCTACTCCATCGGAGCAAGAGGGAAGTCTTCAGAGGGTAAACCAAGACAGGAGTGTTTGCTCAGATTTATGGGGAGTCTGAATAACAACTCGGAGAGATCTGAACCAAATCCATCCCCTCGGTGGAAGTGCAACTACATAA